TCCTGCACAGGTAAATGTGAAGTATGAAAGTTGCACCTAAATCTTCGTCACCATCATTTTCCACCTCCTGACTGCTAAAACAAAGACTTAGCCTGCCAAGGACATACCTTTATGAACAACCTCTTGGAATGGAAGAAGTTCACCTGAAAGAGGAGCTAGAATGTGGAATGACAGTTTCTGTTCAAACACTCCATTCATTGTCTTCCCCAGGGAGAGGCTAGTATATGAGCTGGACACAACAGGAGAGCTGCTAGTTGATCTGGGGTCTGACCAAACTTCGTGTCATAACCCATTCAGTGGGGGATACTATCCGGTACAGCTTGGCTTTGAGGAAGCAAAGCAGCTCCTTTCCACCAATCTGGGGAAGTTCCGGACCCTGGTACAAGAGAGGTAAATGTTTTGGCAACACATTTTTTTAACCTTTAAGTTTAGTTGCCCTGCAAGTGATCAGATCTTTGTCTTTCTCACAAGAAGTTTCTGTTCTTTGGTATTTCAGTAGAAATCTGGGGTAGAGCTACGGTACTAATAACTCCCAACTTTGTACTTATAATGCTATCACTCAGAATCTGGAGACATTACTTACCCACCATTTTAGGAGTAGTCTCTAGTGTACAAGATCAGAGGCCTGAACCCTAATGATTTATTTCACTTCTGTAAATTTGTAAGTTGCATTAGGTTTTAAAAATCTGGGACAATAAGTACAATTGAACGTAGTCTACCAGTTGGTTTAGGTTCACTGAATATAGCATAAAAACCCAATGGGTAAGCCAGAAAGTCCATCTAGCCTACCATACTTCCAGCTGTGGCCAGTAATGCTTATTTAGGGAAGGATATAAGGAGGGAACAAACTCCCGCAATCACTCCTCCCAGCTTCCTGCAACTGTAACTAAGTTCTGTTTAGCATCTTAATTTTGGGGAGCTACTCCTGATTTACAAGTTTGCAAATAAGATTGTAATCGGACATTGTAAAGGGAGCAATTTGGCATAATTTATATATAAATAAAGAACTGTGCAACAGAGGCAGCAAGCTGTACTCTTGTTCTCAACTGGTACTTTTGAGACTTTATGGCTCCTACTCTGGTTTTGTTCACCTTGAACATTTTTCTGGAGACCTTTTTCCAGTAGAAGGTAGAATATGGGCACATAATCTATTTGACTTTGGGTGAGGGACCTACAATTCTGTATCATACTACTCTAAGACAAAGGTAACAGAAAGGAAGGGAGGGACTCATTTCTAACAAGCTAGGTATGACCTAAACAAATCCGATATAATTTGTTAGGCATTGATTTACCTCTCTAGAGTTCCAAGAGGTTACAGCTATGCATGTACAACTCCATATATGCAACTATGCATTGAGATTAGAACTGGATAATATTAAGTGGAAATGGTATCACAGAGAGCAGTCCTGGGGTATGGTCCACTACTGGAAACAGGGAAAATTGGGCTGTTTTGGCCAAGGGAGTGGCCAGAACAGTGATGTTTAGCCATTTTCAGTTTTTCTGTCTCTGCTCTCTTTTTCTGTGAACTTCCTAAACCCTTTTGCAGTTTTGTGTAGGCTGTTTTTTGTTATTACCTTCCATCCTCAAAGCTGGCTGCATTTCTTTGCTGAAAGATGTGATCCCTCTCTGCCAGTTAATGAAGTTCCCTTAATGACTGTAAATCACTTCAAGATTTGGGGATAACAGGTGCTACAGAGATTGAAAGCATCTCAATTGGTATCTTAGGGGTTTATGTCCGAATTTCTCTGGGGTCTTTCAATTCCATCTGTCTCTCCCTACTCCCATGCCTTTAGTGAGTTCATGATATTATTCTTTTTAATATTTTATCAATCTTAAGAATAACTGTTCCCTTCTTTATTTCAGTCTGAAGAGACATGTGGCTGCTATTAACAGACTAGCTGATAAGGGCATGTTTTTTTGGGATTATGGCAATGCTTTTCTCTTGGAAGCTCAAAGGGCTGGTGAGTAGATTCTGGAGTTGTTAGGCAGAAACAAGGACAATCCTGCATGTATCTTCCCAGCTGTGTATTTTGGTAGGATAGGGTTGGCCACTGTATTCTGCTAACTCTTAAGTCTCTCTCTTTCTCTTGTTCTCTGAGACCCCTGACCCTCTCTGTGGTTGAGATAGTGCCTTCATGGGAACCCAGGTGTTGTCTGGTTTTACATTTTATAGTTTTTTTCTTCATCAAGTCACTGACTATTAAAATTATTTTATAGGTGCTGATGTTGAGAAAAGAGGAGCCAATAAAACAGAATTTCGATATCCTTCCTACGTTCAGGACATCATGGGGTATGTTGGGGAGAGTTTGGAATAAAGGACTGAAGTCCTTTGTGACTCCCTCTGTTTAGGGGGAGAGTACTACAGAGATTCCACCTCGTGCAAATCTTGCAGACTACTATAAATGATGGAGTCAACTGTAGCAGTAGGAAAATTGATCTGACAGGGGTTATATCAGAATTAGTCTTATTTTTCTCCACTCCGGAGTAATGCCCAGTGTGATTTAGGAAGATGTCCTGTTGGCTGTAAGGATCATACTCATGTTTTCTCTTGGTTTCCTTAGAGTTACTCCTTGCATTTTCCTGTGTACAGGGGAAAAGAAGAGCCAGGCCTGGAGGGACATGTTGTGTGTGATTAACATAAGTAAACTCTGACAGAAGTTTTGCTAATATTTTGTCCTGAAAGGCATGACATGTCTTGATAATTTGGTGTAAAGCTTTATCCTTTTTAGAATTATGAAAGCAGACACCAGATGTGTGACAGTAAGCTAAAGACAGTAAGTAAGCAGACACCAGTAAGCTAAAGCATTGCCAAATCAAAACTCTTCACTCCTTTACATAAATAGCTGCATTTTCTCTTTTGTTGCATCAGTTTTCCTTAAGCAATTCTACTCAAGAGAATAGCCAAGTCACAGCCTCAAACTGTAACTATATGCAACTTCACTTTTAGGTGCTAAAAATGAAGAGCTTGTCTCTTTGGAGCAGTAGAGCTCAATTCCAAATCATCGAAGCCTCTGTCTACACTGAAGTTAAAAGCACGTCTGAAATAGGACACTCTTCTGCCCATATTGCCAACTGTGCCTCTTACCCAAGCTGTGCATACTGCTTGTAGAAAAAGCTGAGCTCAGGAGATCTGTTGAGGGACCGGGTTTATAACACCTTTTGCCTCTGACTCATGCTTAGCTTGCCTATATCATGTGATTAAGAGCTTGAACATAGAGTAAGACACCAACCAGATTAGATCTCTTCTTCTGGAACTCAACTAAAGCGTGTCTTACTATTGTGTGTAAACAATGTGGACAGCAAATGAGTCTGGACTCATTTGTTCAGAACCTACACTTCTCTGATAGTGTAGATGCACTCAGAGTTAGCCTGGGTTAAGGGTGAAAAGACCAGGCAGCAGGGAGAGTATACTCGATGAAACAAAAGAAAAATTGCAATTCATCTGATGATGCACTTGTTTGATTGAACTGCCAAACATTCCTGTAAAAATTCTGGCCTGACTGTATTTTTATACACCAGTCGATGGCTGCGTGAAACAGCACTGTTTAATTTCTCAATTAATGGTCCCTGTTGCTTCTGTTTAGATTAGTTCATTGAAAATGTTTCAAATTCTTCCATCTCCAGCTAATGAAAGAAAAGCACTGCTAGCAGCCAGGATAAATAAGGAAAGAATTTCAACTATCCCTTAATGAAACATGTTCTCTTCCCAGGGACATTTTTTCCCTGGGATTTGGGCCATTCCGCTGGGTTTGTACCTCAGGTGACCCACTGGATCTTGCTACCACTGACTCAATTGCCATGTCTGTGCTGGAAGACTCTATACGTCAGGGAGGTAAGACACCATCCTGTGCCCCCATCACTGGGTGTGCTTTTGGGGAGAAAAGGAAACTGAGAGTTGTACAATGTGTGATAGTTTTTGGCTGAAACTGTAGAAAGCACTCTTTTCCACAGGGGCAGGAAATCTCACTGTTCTCAAAACTCCTATAAGGTGTGTAACCAGTAGGTAAAATATGAAAACCCATGTAGAGAGGTTATTGATCCTACAGCTATTGTGGCAATTTTTGCTAAGAGCATTTCTTTTCATTTGTTACAGATTTTCCTGCACTTTGTCACCTTGAAACTTTAAGGCAAACAGTATCTTTCATCAATAGGTCTCCAAGAGTTTTTTAAAGGAGTCAAATTGCTTTGCCCCTGTCTCACAGGTGAATGAGGCATGGGAATCTAGGGAGGTTTTTCAGAGGCTAGCAAGCAGATCAGTGGCAGGAAACCCAGGTTTCATGGGTGTGGTGCTCCATCCAGTGTCATTCATTTGTGATTACAATTTTGAGGTCTGTCTTTTTTGCCATTTGTTAATAAATTGACAGCTGTTTCTACTCACTGGTGGAACCAATCTGGAATATCTGCATGGCTCTATATGCTACTCTAGTATCTAGGAATTACACTGTCTTTCACTCTTCCATATCCCTGAAAGTGGGCTATTACTGTTATCCGCTGCTTATGAATGGGAACAGAGACAAAGCTAATTTTGTGTCAGCAAACATGAATCCTAATCACCCACGTTGCAGTGGAAGGCCCTACTACTTTCCTTTTCTTTGTCTGCTTTTACAGTAGCTGGAGAGCACACTTAAAGACTTAAGTGTCATTGGTCCTTAGCACTGAAGTCCTCAGCTCTTCTATTTCGAGTGTAGCTTTGTGCTTCTCAGAATCAAGGAAGGGAACAGAAGGAAATGGATCACAAATCCAAAGCATATTTTATGGGGAGGAGAGCATAATATTTTTATCTGGTAATATTGAAATATTTATTGCTTCTTTCATGAAAGACATCATTGAAATATGAATAGAAGTGTGAAGATTTTGAATGCTCTTCTATTTGTTCTGGAACAGGTAGCATTGCGAGGATCTTGGGTGGTATTTCTGAAAAGGATATACCACATTCAGCTATGTCTCATTTGAAACAAAACTACTGTTATCTTCCTATAATGCAAGGCTGGTGTCCAGCTTCCTCTTCCTCCCAAGAGGTGAATTACTGATAGGGTGTGTCTGACCCTGCAAGGTCCTTAGCTCTGTCTATTCTCTTAAACTTTCCTTAGGAGTCATCTTAAAGAAATAGCACTGGAGCATGAGGTGTTTTTAATGCAATGGCCCAGAAGTGCCTCCCCGGTTCTTTGGATATTGAAATTTCCATGTTTTTAAACCTGGTCCCTTGACTTAATTGAAGGGAGGGTGAAATCCAATACTATAGTGCTGGATCTATCTTCAAAAATCTGCAGTAATTTTTCTGCCATGTACTGTAATCTCCAGTCATCATCTCTCAAGATTGAATTGACCTTTGGATGGTTTGCATTGCAAGACTAGGAAATGAATCAGTTACTGTGTGTACAATAGTATGTGGATGTTTATATAGATGGTAATGTAAAGCTGGCGAGAGAAGTCTCTTCCACAGACAAAAAGCATTGAACTCTTGCATGATATTCTTAATTTAAATGAAAAATGACATTTAAAAGATCCCAACAGGTGAAAACAGGCTTAAGGGCAAGGCTATTAATGTATTTGTTGTTGAATTTGGCAGGACAATGGGAATAGGGTTTCAAAGAAAAATGAAAACAGAATTTGGCCAGAAAATAAACAGCCATTCATGGATTCACGTTCTTGAGTATTCCACTTGCTGTCCACTCTCTACGGGACCTGGGCTTGGACCAAATTCCAGGGTCTGGATATCTTCACACACATATACATCTAAAATCTACCTTTGAATTTTATAAAAGAATCTGTTACGATGGCTGAGTGAAAACTTCACAGAGCTGAAGTCTGTTGCTTTCCAAGTCTAAACTTTTGACCTGGCCTTGAGTCCAATGTTAAACATTCTTCTCCTTTTGTGGAGTTGAATTTTTGCGCTTAAACCTCACAAACTGCGGAGAAAGTCCTATGTAGTTTTATTATCTGCTTCCATTCCTAAGGTACCCGAGCTTTTAATTCAGCCTTTGCACAAGAGATTCAGCACTGATAATTGGAGTGTAACTTGGATTTATGACCTCTGTGGTAGTTTGAAGGCTGAGCTGATGCATAACAACAATACAAATCTCCCAAGAGCAAAGGGAGCCAATCTCTGTGTGATGAGGACTGTTCATCTGAGTACACAATGCTTTCTAGTATGTTTTAAACACTAAATAAATACAGAGGCCTATGAAATACCAGAAGCAACACAGAAGCTTGCCTGACTTCAAAATGTGTTTCTGTTGGGGTGGGGAAATGGGGGCAGCAGTTTAGCAAATGAGACACACACAGAGCTAATCTCAAGTTAAGGTCTTTCTAGAAAGAGAGGTAAGACTCTTAATTGCAGGCAGTAAGACTAAATAAAAGGGGGGATTATTCACTTCCCCAGGGATGACTGATGAAATCCAACTTTGGACACACCACAGTTTAGGACAGAATATGACTGTTTATTGGAGCTGGCTGGGAGGGACAGATGTGCTGTGTTGAGATATGTCCTTGCAGCCAGTATTCTCATCTGGCTTCTCTTCTGGATATGTTCTATAGAATTAACAGACAGTAAGGTCTTTTCTATAAGTCTGTGCACTGCGAAGTATAAAATATGGTAAGTACTCTTTGAGATAGCTTATAAAAGTGATAGAAAGGAACTCATTCTCTATTTGGTTTTCTAGAGTAATTCCTGTAAACTCTCATTAAATATCTATAATAACCTAAGTGAATACTGCCCATTACCTTCTAGAATATGTTTCCTTAAAGCTTATGAATGGCAGCACAGTCCTCCTAGGACAGCACTAGCAGATGTTTCATCTTTTACTCCCTGTGAAGCTAAGAGCTGAAATGTCAATCCTCACTGCAGAGTTTAGAAGCTATCACTTGGGGCCAACCCCTAAAGCACTGACAGGTCTTTTTAGGATCATTAAAACTCTCTCTATGGAAGGCCTGCCTCTGCAGAAATGAGCATATTTTAGATTTCCCTTTAACAATGTGTTTAACCCGGGTTAGATACGAGTATCTTGCCTTTTCCTCTTTCCTTTTTCTAGTTTTACTATGCATATCTGCTTACAGGGGAAAGACAGTAGTCTTAAACACTCTTCTCAGTTACCAGGGACAATTTCAAGTTAACAGTGTGCAGTTTCTCCAGTTTGACTGACTTTCAAACGTAAGTTTCAGATTTAAGATTCACGTTAAGATTCAGCTGGACAGGGTGCTGGGCCATGTTGTCTAGACTGTGCTTTTGTCAAGAAAGGTTGGACCAGATGATCCTTGAGGTCCCTTCCAAACTGGTATTGTATGATTCTATGATTCTTTGAAGTTATATGTACATTATAATTTGACTTGAAAATGGGTGAGAGCTGGAAAGTGATGGGGAACATGTATCTTGACATCTGCAGAAATGATTATAACTTGAAGCTCTAATGCATGAGCAAGTCACTATGGCTTAGAATGTCCCCACATGCCAGCTGAGCCCTGGCAGCTGACCAGGTCTCTCAGAACTAGGTAATGTGACGTAGCTTAGCCCACGGAGAAAGAGCCTACAGGCAGTAACTTCTTCAGCCATTGTAACCTCATCTGGGCTCACACTCAGCCTGTGTGGAAAGGCATAACTGTAAAAGCCCCCAAAATAAAGACAGTAAGAAAATGCTTCTATCCCATTCCATACTCCCTCTCCCTTTTGTTACTCACTTGCTACAGATGGTGCCATGCCTGTGGAGGCAGCTGATTGTATTGAGGTCGCCACGTATCTGACTGATACGTGCCATATTTCACTGTCTTTCAGTTCAAATATCTTTATTCTTACTCTTCTTTGGTTTGGCTGATTAAGATGGAATGGCACAGATATAAATGTGAGGGAAAGCTGGAGAATATAAAACCATTATATATAATTCTCTTCTTAGATAACATATATATCTAACCAAGGTGTAGGGTGGATTTACATATAAAGTAGCTACTCCATAGTAAGTTTTTCTGTACAGTTTGTGCTCCATAGTAAAGTGAGGCAACATATCTCTGTTTGAAGGATAAGAGACCTCAGTTTTATCTTGGGATAAAAACATTCATGTGGGCCATTTAGTACAGAGCAACTGCTATGCTATAAATCTATATCCCAGCATTGGTGTAAGTATGTATTGCCAGCTGCTTCTAAGAATTTCTGCTGGCTGACTCAAAGGAGTTCTTTTACTACCTGATGCAAGACTGGACTGTAGTACCCCATGTCATGGAGTTTGCTAAAGCTACTAATTTAGCAAAATCTCAGAAAGGGATTCGGCATTTTGTAGGCAGCAAGCGAGGTGACCAAAAATGAACAGTACATGTAACCCATATTTCAAGGTTTAATTTAGTTTGCTAAAGATCTGAATGGGAGTTATCATTCCAGCTGCCTCCTAGATGACATCTCATACCTTCCTCTGAATATATGATACCAGTTACTGCATCAGCTGCACAGAGACTTCTATATAGCATTTCCTATATGCGTGCTTGTATCTCAGAGTAGAATTTGACTTCCTAGTGCTGTCAGATGAATTAAATTAAATTTAGAGCATATTGCATTCATTTTCAAAACCTCTTTTCTTTCTTGCTTTCTCTTGCAAGTGAGCACATCTGTGAAGCAGCAGTACCATGACAACATCCGCTGGATTCGGGAAGCTGGCAGGCACAGCTTGGTAAGTGCACAACCTGCTTCAGCACGTGTGACCGCTCCTGGTCCAGAATGCAGTTTT